GTCCACCCCTTTATGCATATGATCCACAACCCAAATTCCAATTATCTTATAATTGCAATTCCAATCCCCTAAGTTTAATTAATATCTTTTTATCACAAAATTAATTTCTTAATTAATTCTTGACTAATATTAATTAATGAATATGATTTCTCTTTTAATATATTATTCATATAATATATTAATAAACCATAATATCCTCTTTCTCCACTAATCATCCAGTCAAGTTACTCCGATGAAGGCAACCCAAAAGGACTATGCTACAACCGGGTCAAGTACATACCAAATATAATTATGGACTTAGACACTAATCCAACAACATGTACACTTAGGTATATCGTAGTTTCGATTTTTTCCGCTACCTAGTTTAGAGTGTATTTGATGCGTAGAAAACTCAACAATTGCTATGTTGTAGTGATATGTTAGATCTGTATCCTGGTATATAGGATGTTGCTATGCGGTAGTGATATGTAGATCTGTATGTCTACCTGTACTTTTTGGTCATCATCTAGTGGAGTGTCCTAGGGGCTGTATGTAGTCATGTAGGATAGCCTGAGAACTCTTGTTCTAGGCTTTCTTGCCTGCTCCTTGTTTAATTATGGATCTAGAGTAGGATTATCTGTTCTGATGGTTATCTCACCTCTGGTTACTTATGGTTACACATTTCATGAAAGTTAGCTACTAGCGGGACGGTGTGCGGTGTGAGGACTAGTAGGCGGTATTGAGTTGTTTGATTATTGTTTGCCTGTATTATATGCCTACTTGATCATTGATTGTTTATATATCGACATATGGTGGTAGTTGGTAGAGGTGGTCCTGCTTTGTGCTATAGGCCAAGATACCCGGTGCGAGCCGACTGTAAGTCGTAGGCACGGAGGCTCGGGAAGAGATGTTGGGTTGAGGCGGTAGGCCAACAAACCTTGGATATTCCATCCCGATGGCTGATTGGACCCGTCGCATGTTGGCGTTCCAGTCCGAGGACTGATTGGGCCTAGGCATTCCAATCCAATGATTGTGGGCCGTTATGCATGCTTGTATGTTTATCGTATGTGGTACTTTGGGGGAAATCTCACTAAATTTTATGCTTACCTAATTCTTTATTGTTTCAGGTATCATCAATTATCATGGGAAGACGAATGCATGACTGTACACATTTATGAGCAACAATGAAGATTTCATGTTTTAATATTACTTTGATTTTCAATAAATGTACTTTGGAATAAACAATTTGTGTAATAATGAATTTATAATTAGGAAGTTTCACTTTAATAAAATGATTTTTTTTTTGTTGTGAAATGGGACGTTACAAGTTTGCATAGATCTTGTACATTATCTTGATGGATTGATGTAAACTTAATTATTTTTTTATCATTTTTTATTTATTTATTTTTTGAAGATGATGTGATACTTGGAGGAACATGTAATGTAATGGTATGAGTATGTTACAGGTTGAAGGCATGTTAAAACATAAAAGTTTGAAGCCATGTTGAAACATAAAAGTTTATCCGTAGTGGAACTTAAGATCCCTAACACATGAAACAAGAGCACTAATTTGGGAATTGAAATTCATCCTAGTTGAAAACGGAAAATTGTTACGATATTTTTGTTTTTATAATTTTTTTATATATACATGTTGTGCATCGTACGGTAAAACTATAAACAATATAATGGCATAAATTTTTTTATCTCACCCCGGATATTAAAAACCAATGAACCAGCCCTGCCTAACACCGGTGTCCGAGCTAGATTACCCGCACCTTGACTTATAATTAATCCACCGTGCGAAGATAATGATATGTCTCACATTTTGAAGTCACCAAAAACGAACCTGTACGGCCACAACAAAAATAACATCAGGATTCAAACATATTTAGATGGGTTATCTAGCTACCGTATCTTCTACATGCAAGCCTTACTATTACCTCACAATCTTTATGATTGTGTTTTTTCATCAAATGATGCACCACATTCACAGGATAAACATTAATACCTTTTTAAAGAAACCGGCGTAACCCCGATCGTGTAATTGTACGCTAACTAAGTTGTAATCTACCTTCACACAAATTTTAGTTTAAGATACTTTACCATTCCAAAAATATTGATAGTTAAAAACTCATTTAATTTTGGTCTTAAAAAAAGGAGCGGGTCCATTACCAAGAATGTATTTTAACTTATTGAAGTTAATAATTTAGGCGTGTAATAATTTAAAAAATACATGTTTTTTCGTCACAGGTATGATAAATAAAAACATATCTCACTTCGGTTTACTGTTTTTAAGATTATATCAAAAATGTTTTTATAGTAATATAATTATAGGCCAAACACAATTTTTATTTTTTTAAATTTGTTTTATTATTGTCATAAAGTTCTTGCAGCTTATAATAAATATGTTTACTATCATAATCATTCTTTTTCCATCTAAAAAACCATAGATTTTACATTTATTCCCGTTTAAAAATTATGAATATATTATCCGAAGTCAAATTTAATTTGTAGAGAGTAGTCAAATTAATCTATTATTCCTGTTTAAAACTTATTATTTTTTTTTTCATTTTTGGAACCAACGTATATATATTAAAATAAAAACCCCAACTAGCAAGATGCTAGAAGGAAGTTTAAGACTTACTTTCTAAGTTAAACATGTTTTTAGATTTAATTAGCTTATTTTTAAAACTTTTTAAGGTTATTATGAAAAACCAAAAAAGTAATTTATAGGCTATATTTTTAAAATGCTCGTCAAACCATACCTTTTACTGAAGTAATGATTTATTTTTAAGAATTCGGTAAAAAATACCATTAAAAAATTTAAGTGATTGTTTTTTAACTAGCTTTCTGAGTTAAACACGTTTTTTAAACTTAATTTATTTATTTTTCGAACATTTTAAGATTAACATGACGAAAACCAAAAAATAGTTTATAAATTATATTTTAAAAATGATGCTCAAACCAACGTTTTATTGAAGTAATGATTTTTTTTAAGAATTCTTTAAAAGACATGATTAACTAATTTTCCATCAAGCTTATCGGCTAGTTTTTTTTTGGTTGGAATTCTCCATGCCCTTCTATGCTATTTTAATTTCACAGCTAGTTTATCCATTAGTTTTATAAAATGTCATTTTTTAATAGGTAACTTATCCGCTAGCACTTATATCTTCAACTATTAATTAGTTTTTCAGATAACAACTACTTTGTTAATCCGGACACTTATACATGATTGAATTTTTGTGTAATCTGGATGTAGCGTTTATTGAGTTTAATACAAGAAAACATGACAAGATATAATTTTATATATTAATCAATATTTTGTTTTCCTTTTTTTTTCCACTAAACTTCTCGCATATCAAAATTAATAAATATTATAAAAATTAATAAGTATTATATTGTCTGTTAAAAAACCAAGAAAAAAAAATGATAATTTACTCTCAAATATTTTGTTCGAAAAGATATTATATGTATAACACTTTTTATATATCATTATGTATTTAGTCACTCAAGTTATTAATGTCTTAACAAAGAAAAAAAAACACGTAATATAAGGTGACCACAGTTTCAATCAATACAAGAAGAAAACCATTATAGCAAAACATATATGAAGACTAACTTTTTATCATGTATATGTACTTCGATTAGTATGATTTTCTATGTGTAAGCAACTTTTAGTAATAAAACAGTACGATCATTTTCACCTTGTACTTGTCAACTAGTATATTTATATTTATGAACAGTATGTGCTACATAATAAATCAAAATATTTAGATAAGTACTTGAGTTCAATTAAGTTGATTAAAAATATTATTAATCATATACTTTTACTTTTGTAATTGTATTATATTCATTCAAGTATAATTATATATTTTTGAATTCATGGAAGCGAACTTGTGGGACACAATCATACATGCGTAATTGGTAAAACAAAATTGTTTTATGTACATGCAGTTACAAAGTTTGAAAATATAGTGATATTTTGTTTGTTTTAATATAAAAAAACATTGAATTTTCTAAGAGTCAAATACACATATGTAATAACATTATTTATTTTATAAATTGAAATGCCAAAATAACGTTTTACACGTTATATTGATATTTTTTTAATTAAAATTAAAATAAGTAATATCTATATGTATAAATTGATAAGTTCAATTTCATTATATAATGGCACGTATTATATATGATTACGTACATTGATATAATAAACATAATTAAATGGATAAGCGTGTAATAACCATTTTTTAACGACAAATGTCTATGATTATATTTATTACAAAATATACAAATTAATAATAAGTTCTAAGACGAGCAAAATAATCAAACCCTAATTCATATAATTAGAACTCTTTCAACTTTTTCTCTATCTTGTTCCCATTTACCTAATTTGCTCTTCCCTAAAAACAATTTTTTTATTATTATATATGCATCCATGGCCATACCTATGCGACACATAGACTCTCCATTAAAACCGATAAAGTAGTCATTATTATAATAGTAATAGATTCAGTTAAAGTTGATATTTTTTAATACAAAATCATCATAACCTATTACTAATATTTTTCACATAAAAAACAAAAAAAACAAATACTATTTAATCTGTATTTTTTTTAATTGTGATTTTTGAGGTGTTTATTATAGGCATTATTTCTCTCAATAAATTATGTTTACAAAACCCTTTAGTGCCGAAGAAAACACAGCAACGCCACTATGCAATTTTGACGCGTGTAATTCACGAACCAATGATGTCGAGTTTAAGTGCGTGGCATCTTCATATGACAAAACAATGACTCGAAATTGACTACTCACCTAACAAGGCGCGTGAAAAAGAAGAGCGTGGGAAAAATTAGGGTTTGATTTCTGTAAATTGCGATAAGACCACCATCACTAACTTTTTCTGCTGACGTGGTTGTCCCTGATTCGATTTCTCTTTCACACAGTTTCACACTTTCAGTGTGTGCTTTACAAAATACGTACATAAAATATGTAGGTAAGAAGACAACAAAGCGTGAAGTATACTCCCTCTCTTCAAAACACACACTCGACACAACCTCCTGTCTCTCTTTCTCTCTCTCACTTTCTCTCACTACATTTCTCTCTCTAGTTCGTGATAACCTAAAGGGGTGAGACTAGGGTTTTCAACCGCTTCGCACTCGGATAAATCGGAAAAGGCTTTGAATCTGTAAGTAAAATTAACATTTCTAGCTTCGTCTTCAGATATGGTATCTACTGATAGATGTTTTAAGTGATTTCAGTTGAGAAATTAAGGTTTTAAAGTGTTTCAATTCTTTTTGTTGGTTTTGATGCGGCGGATAAGGTTTCAGATCTGTGTGCTGTTATAATTGATCGGTGTGAAGTAAATGTCGTTCTATGTGCACGGATATTAGCTTACGTTTTGAGCTCACTCTCTTGATATTTTTCCAATTTGGTTAAACTATTATTCTTTGATGTTTAATTTGCTTTATTCAGTTTGTTTCCTTTCTGGGTTTTGATGCGCATATAACCAATTTTTCCCATATCTTGATTGGAGTTCTATTTTACAGCACAACTTAATTATCGATTGAATATGATTATACAAACCCTAAAAATTTGTTTATTTGATTATTGTTTGTATGTTTAAGGGGACGGTGGTGATGAATCTGGAACGAGTCTCGTGATTATAAAGTGAGTTTTCTAGGATTCTTTAGAAAGCTAAAAACTTTACATTCTATTTTATCCAACCATGAGCTGTTTGTTGTTTGTGGTGTTTGTTAATTGAACTAAGCTATGCTCACATCTAAAAACACAGTCTCGGTATAAATTAGTTCTTTGGTTTTATCAGTTGACAAGCGCACTGCTTGGTGTTTGACTTGCGTAAGACAATTTTTATAATCCAGTTTTCTTTTATTTTCCCTATTACTATTTGTTAGTATTTATGTGCCTATTGTACTATTTAGTAAAGTTTCGATTTGGCCTTCACCCAACTTTACTTTCTTTGCTATTGATTGTGCAAACTGTGTTGTGTGTTGCTTTGTTAACTTCTGATGTACTAGTTAGTCTTTTGCAGCTTCTGATGTTTATTGTATGCTCATCAAGAACTTGTTATAAATACTATGGTGTTCTACTCCTTCAATTTAAAACCTCAGTATTTTAAATTTATGTCAATTGTATGTAATCATGTACAACTAATTGTCATTTACAATGAACACGAGTCTAATCTTGAAGGTTACTTTATTGTAGTTATATCTTAGAATGGAGAGCGATACTGATAAAAGTATCAGACTGAGAGATTCTGGGACAATTATTGGGGGAGATCAGGCTCAAGGAAGCAATGTTAATGCTTTACTCCACTCCAGCAGTTCAACTGTTAAGATCAATTCACTGTCAATCAATCTTGGAATTGTCAAGGGGAAGGATGATCCACAAAAGTGTAGTCATTTTTCTATACGGTAAGTCATGTACTTTTTGCATTTAAATTCATAACACATTTCATTTAACTACATAACTGTTATGCTGTATTGCTGTTGATATGGTTGGTATATAACTATATATATACTTATATGTATGATTTTGAACTGGTGTGTAATATGCATATCTTGTTATTTATTGCTTAATTATCCATGCTGATATGTGTTTTTCTCCTTATCACTTTGCATCTTGAGTTTGAGATGCCAATGCACACAATCTCTTGCTTGTGTTCATATCTCAACTTGTTACATGAGATACGGTGCATATTCTAATATTGTTCATAAATTATGATCACTTTGCTTGGAGTAACATCTACTTTTTTGTAGGAAGAATAGACTTTCATTTCATTGGCATGTTGTTTGTTTCTCTTATAACTGATAACATCTATCAATTGATACACCAGAGGCTATGTTGCAAAGATGCGTGAAAAAGGTGACAACCACCACTTACCATTTTCTAATGGTATTGGAGAAGAACCTCCCCCTATAGAAGTCCCACGTTTTAGATATTGGCTTTGCCAAATCTGTTTGCAAGATTATGGAGGTGGAAGTACTTCTCAAGAGGTTGCATTAGTCTCTCAGTATGGTAAAAGCATGATGCAACCTTGCACAACTTCTTACTCATCATCACCAAATTGTCATGGTTTGCCAATGCTCCCTTTTGGAGAGGGCACTTCAGGTAATTTAATACTGTCCCAATCTCCATCTTGTCTTGGGATTGCATCTAATCATCTGTTATGATATTTCAATGCTGTTTTTGATTCCTTTTTTCTGTTCTTTCTTCAGGTCATAAACCTGTTGATGAGAGAATTAATGTTGACGAAAGCATTATACAAGAAGATACTACTCAATCTTCACCTGATCACAACCTTCCTGACACTGAAGAACCAGATAAAATCGATTCTATTGATGCCAATATCACTGAATATGCAGCTGTTGTTGATGATTCCAAGAAAGTTGACTTAGTCAATGGACCTTTGACTTCTCCACCAGTCCAGTCAACCGAGTCTGACCAACAGAATCAAGATCCAACCGGACATCCGCGCCGAAAGGCACGAAAAGTGCGTTTATTAACAGAATTGCTTTGTGGAAGTAGTGAAAAACCGCATCAGAGAAAAGAAAGCACTAATCTTCCTGAATTAACTCCAACTCCATCTTCTCCACTGAAAAAAAGAAAGATCCAACAAGCTCAGGAGTGGAAACCTGTCGAAGGTCATGTTGGGAAAAAAGTCAAAGTGGTCAAGGAGGACGTTTCTGGTAAAACCAGTATAGTTAATGAAGGTGAAGGTGGGCAGAAAACTGATAAATATCAATGTACAAAACATGGAGTTCAAAAAAGTTCCAAACATGTTAAGGCAACTAGTGATCCAGTTGCAGCTTGGAGATCGATATTCAGTGATATGGGAAGATCAGATAAAGTCGTGTCACTTCCCAATGATGCTTCAAGACCGAGTCAAGATGTGTATGAGTATGAAGGCAAACGAAATGTTGACCAGTTTTCAGAAAAAAGATGTAATGCTTCCAAGAAGGTAATGGAGGATCCTATGAGAAATCAGTTATTTGGAGATGATCATATACAAAGGACAAATGTTGGTGATTATGATTATGATTCTAGAGCGAGGGGTGGTCAGTCTGAAACTGGGTTAGGGCTTGGGTTATCTCTAAACTATGAACCACAGTCACGTGTTTCTTGGCTACCACCATTACCAAATCGGGTTCCTATTCAAGATCATAGTAGGAAAGATGGTTTCTTTTTTGGAGAATCAAGTATTGGACATAAAGGAGTCTCATTGGATCCTCAAGCAAAAGGAAGATCGGTTTACAGTGTCAGAGATGGACATACACATACTCCTAGAACACCATTCTTGCAGGAACAGCAGCCTTTTCATACACACCTTTCACATGGGAGCTTTTCTCAGCATCAGAATTTAGTATGTTCTCTCTAATATATATATATTCCATGACTATAATTCTCATAATATGTGATTTACCTCCCTCATGTTATTTGTGGGACCCGTTTCCAGTTGTGGGAACATGTTTATGCCAAACATGACTAAGGATGTTGCATTGCTCATAGTTTTTTTGGGTTAAATGCAAGATGTAGCAACGTACTATTATTCATTTGTTTATTATAGCATACCACTTTCATTTTCTCCTATTACATCATTGTACTTTGAAAAATTTATCCTTCTATCGAAATGGCATCCAAACACAGAAATTTTCATTGCTATAATTGGGTAGTTTGTTAGTTTTTTTTATTTGAAAATATAAATCCTAATAAGAAAAGTATAAGTACAATGCGATAATTGGTAGAGTTTTCGATGTACAATGTGTTAATAAGAAAAAAAAATTTTGAAAGTACAATCTTGTAATAAAAAGAGATGAAACTAGGATGCTATAATAAACAGATAAGTGAAAGTATGTTGCTATCTTTTGCCTTCAGCCCTGTTCCTTTTGTATTTGATCAAAGGCAAAAGAAATGAATTGGTCCTTGAGACGAAAATCTTCTGTTAATCACATACTTAATTATACTCCCACAATCATGTCAATTAAGTCATTCCTGTCTCATTTTAATCAATTAACTAACATAAACAGTCAATCCAGGACAATATTTGATGAAGGGGGTGTTATTCATGATTCATCTAAAATAATATTATTCTATATTGTTGTTAACAGGACTTCTCTGATCCACACAACAAGAGGAACAATGGAGTTAGAGGGTATGCAGATATAATGATGGCTAATAGCCATCAAAGACATGACATATTTTCCAATGGGAGGTCAGATGAAAGGGAAATCGTTGAACTCATGGCCAAAATTCAGTATGAAAGAAACTTAAGTGAATCCAGGAATTACAATTCATCAAATTTTCATAAAGTTAGTAGCTTCAACCAAGGGATGCCTATACCCCACCACCAATATCCCACATTCAGAAGGCCTTCAATGGAGAATTCAGGTCTGGGTCCCACCACCATGAGGAACCCAAACCCATCTGGATTCTTCCATCAAGAACCAATTCCAGCCTTCCCAAGTTTCGATACCTTCTCACACCAATCAAATGGTATACGGGTTTCTGATAACTCTTATTATCATGAATCTAGAGAGAATAACAGAATACCCCACCACCACTCTTCTGTTCCAACCAATATGCAGATAATGGAAGCTTATAACAATGGAAGACCTGGAAATGTGTGGTCAAACATGGAAATGCATACAAAATGGTCAAACAGGAACAAAGGGAAGAACGTTATGAATCTTGATCTAAATGTCATGGCTCCAAATGTTCTTGAAGAGCAGAACAACAACAACATGGGTGGTTCTTTAGACCATTCATATTCTAATGAAGCCATACCTGCAATGCAGTTGCTTAGTCTAATGGATGCAGGGAAAAAGTCATCTTCTTCTTCTTCTTCTTCTCCATTTATGGACAAGAAAAAGCTTCCACCTAAACCACCCTTTTCTTCTTACAATGGAAAACAGAATTCCTTTATAATTCCATGCTCTGGGATGCTACAATCTAGTGTGCAAAGGCCCGTTGAAAACTCAAGGAATTTCATTACGGGTCGTGGAGCTTCGTTTTCTTCTTTCTTTCATACCGATCAAACTCATGGAGTTCATAAACCACAAGAGAAGAAACAGAGAGGTGTGAGTATGACTTCAGGTCACAACAAGTATAGACCAGAGGATTCTTTTGGTTTTCCTCTTCCATGGCATGCAAGTGAAGGAGGATTGGGGACAAGAAATGTGACATCAGGAACTGAGATTTGCACAATTAATCAAAACCCGGCTGATTTTAGTACACCAGGGCCAGAAAATGTGTATATGATTGATGTTGAAAATCTTAAATTCAGAGGAGATCGTGTTTATTACCCTAGGGAAGGGACTGTTTGAGTGGTTGGTAATCCGTAATCTTGAGGGGAAGAGAGCAGAAAATGTTTATTGCCTTTGTGGTTAACAAGGTATGGACTCCTACTTATACTTAAGATATCGAAAAAGAAGTTCTTGTATATATATTTGCTCTTATTTTCTGTAATAGTTGATAGAGTTGATTCCCATAGAAACATGAGCTTAACAGTTGTTTGCCTTGTAGACATGGTTGCTTTTGTTGTTTTAAGATATTTGCAGTATACTCACAGTTTGATCATGAGGTTATGATGTCTTGTTCATGCTGCAATCTAATAAACCTTTCTTCACCATCTTCACTTGGTGCTCATTATTCATGAAGGTATAAAATACCTTTCTTGTACTTTTTCAACTAGGGTTAAGTGCGAAAAACAATGATTTACTCTTATTAATTTGCTGATCGTAAGATTCTTGTTACATGTTTTCCTATTACAACGTCGTACTTTATAAAAATTTACCAGTTATGACATTAGTTATGGCAATGTTATGAAAATACAAAACAATATTTATTGTGCTATAATTTGGTACATTTTTCAATGTCTAATGTCTTAAAGAAAAGAACTTGAAAGGATAATGTTTTTCAAAGTAGAATGTCCTGGTTGCTAGATACTAAGAACTTCGACAAACATAAACTTGATAATACTAAAGATGCGAAGAATAACAAGAAGACAATGAATTAACATGGTTCACTTGACCAGACTAATCAACCTATGTCCGCAAGGCAAACTAGAGAGATTTTATTGATAATCAATGCTTCTATACTTTATGTATTTATTGCATCTACTTATGGATGCTAAGGTCATCTACTTATGGATGCTAAGGTCGCAATCAATGCAGAGAGAGATCTATTTATAATAGTTGTTTGACCGAAATTCTTCTGGGTTGGGATCATAGGCTCATAACATAAGTTTGCCCGTGATGGCATACTTGCTCCAAGTTATTTGGTCAAACCGAAGCTCATAGTTGATTCTAGATTACTAAACGGCCGAAGCATGATGTACAGTGAAGGCTAGCTCAAGTGATAATCTTTGCTTCTCTGCAACCGCACTTCATGGCTTTGGTGCCAATTCTCACTACGCCTCTTAGCTTCAAGTTGAAGCTTTACCTTCACTCCTTACTTCGTTTGTACCTTCGCTCTTAGAGTTTCGCCAACTTCTCCGCTTCTCAATTAAGTTCCGCCTCATACCTCTACTCTTGGTCGAAGCTTGTATCAGTAGCTACGCGTTAAGGCTTCTCTTCTCGCCAAAGCTTTGTCTGGTAACTTCACCATGAGATTAGTCTCCAATACTCAACAATCACCCACTTAGAGGCCAATCAATGAAACGTTGTTATCTAAGTTATGTAGCACCATTTCTATCTCTGGCTTGCACATTCTCTTCAAATCTTCAGAAGGCCAATTGAAGCCATGCATAGGTTCGACTTCTCCATAGTTACTACCTTGGTAAAAATGTCTGTTGGATTATTCGTACCAAGGATTTTCTTCAGATTAAGAGTATTATTCACTGATCATTTTCATGATAAAATGGTACCTCATCTTGATGTGGTTCGTTCTACTGTGAAACACTAGATAGTTCATCAAGTGGATTGAGCTATGATTATCATAAAGTAGGACACAATATTCTTGATTCAACCGCACAACTCTGATCGTAAGTTTTTCAACCAAATAAGCTCATTGCTAGCTTCTCCTATAGCCATATACTTTCGCTTTGGTGGTTGAAAGAGAAACACTCTTCTATAGTATGGACATCCAATTGATGGCTGTTCCTCTAATTGTGAACACATAACATGTTGTGTTTTTCTCCGAATTCGCACAACTCCCCATGTTGTGCTTTTCTCCAAATTTGCACGACTCCCCACGTCACTGAGTCATCATCAATGAAGCCTTCTAGCATGACTTTCTGCCTTTTGAAACATAAGGCTATGTTCAAAGTTCCTTTCAAGTAGCAAAGAAGCCACTTGAATCCTTCCTAATGCTCCTTGCCCATATATGATATAAATCTGCTCATAACTCCCACTACATGAGAAATATTTGGTCGAGTGCATACCATTGCATACATCAAAGTACTAACTACTGAGGCATAAGGAACCTTCACCATTTCTTCTTTGTCTTCTTTCATCTTCGAGGATTGATTCTTGGAGAGTTTCACAGAATTCCCAAGAGGCGTGCGTATGATCTTAAACATTTGTCATGCTGAACTACTCTAATATTTCTTGAATGTATTATTGTTCAGAGAGTTTTAGAGTCCCCACAACCTTATCTTTGACTCTGCTCATGCCAAGAATTTTCTTAGCAGCCCCAAGTCTTTCATCTCGAACTCTCTACACTATTACTTCTTTAGCTTTTTGATATCATGTATGTCAGGTCCAACCACCAATATGTCATCAACATATAATAACATGATGATGTAAGAGGATTTAAACAGCTTCAGGTAGCAACAATGATCACTCTCAATTCTTGTGTACCATTCATCGTCATGAAGTCATCAAACTTCAAGTACCACTTCCTTAGAGATTGCTTTAACCCATACAAGCTTTTCTTTAATTGCACACCAAGTTTTCTTTCTCCAGTTACCTGAAAATTGTGTTTGTGCCATTTAGATATCTTTATCAAGGTCACCATAAAAGAAAGTCTTCTTCACGTCCAGCTACTATAAATGTAAATATTTTGTAGTGACGATTCCAAAAACCATACTGATTGTGGTCATCTTCACAACTAGTGAAAAAATTCATTGTAATCATTTCCCTCCTTTTATTGGAACCATTCACCACTAATCTAACCTTGTATTTCTTGCTTCCATCGATCTCGTCTTTGACCTTGAATACTTACATATTCTTAAATGTCTTATTTTTCATTAGTGGCTTGACCAAGGTCCAAGTCTTTTTGTTTATGTCATCCACAGACTTCTTTCATTATATGGAGTGTTTCATCCTTAAGGCTTTGGGATAAGTTTCTAGCTCTCCATTTTCAGTTAGCAATAAATAATTTGCTGAAGAAAAATATCTAACTGGATGGCTTATTTCTCGAATGGGCCTTCAGGGAATTCCTGAAGTTGCTGCCTTAGTGACTTTGCTTTCACCATCTTCGACTTCACTACCTTCATTTGAGGCTTCGCTCCCACTCACCCTATTTTTTCCAGATATGTGTGAGCTCCTATAGGTTCTAGAATCTTTTCCGATCTTAGCGATATTGGAAGGATTCGCAATCGCTTCGTCATAAATCCTATCTAAAACCATTTTCTTTCTGCCTTCAGATTTCTTAGTTTCGTTGGAGGTAGCAGCGAGATCTTCTTTGTAAAGTGAATTCTCATTTATTGTCATATACCGACTTCGGATAACCCTTTTGATGTTGTTATCCCTAAAGTGGTACCCCATGTCATCCAAACCGTAGCCAATGACGATGCACTTCTTCTCCTTCGCCTCTAACTTGTCTCTATTGGCGGCGACTTGTGTGAAATGAAGTACCCAAATGCATAATCTAGGATTCAATTAAACTATCTGTACAACAAGTAAAGACATAATCAAAATCCTTTCCCACATTTACTTCCTTCATCGTCTTCTCGTCCAAAGGTTTATGGCACCGATTTATGAAGTGTCTGTTTTCTTTGCAATTCTAGTGGGTGATGTCATTTCCGCCCCCCCCCCCCCCCAAGCCCCATTTTTTTAGATCTTCAGCTTTCTCTTCATTACTCAACAAACTATTGGAGCACTCTCTTACATTTTTCTTGCGGATATCCTCACCGAGGGTCAAATCACAAATGCCTTCAAGTGTGAGCTTAGTGGTTCTTGATGAACTACTAACTACTGTGATTATTTCAGGCTAACTTTTTGGTAGTGAAGATAATAACAGAAGCCTTAAGACTTTATCTTCAAACTTAATATCAACAATATTAATCTTGATATTATTGAGTTAAACTGATTTACATGATTTGTTATCGAGCAATCTTCTTTCATCTTATTGTTTACCAACTTTTTGATCAAGAAAACCTTGTTCGCCACCGAGAGTGTTTATACATGTTAGATACATCCTTGATCAGACACACCGTCATTCTATCATTAACAATGTTGTATGCAACATTCTTTGCTAATGGCCTGCTAATCTAACAGATCCCGGTCCTCCCGCTTCATGAGATTTTCTTTCATTTAAAGGTAGGCGTAATTTGTTTTTGGTAGAGAATCTTTAATCGACTTGTTCCAAAAGCCAAAATCGTGACCTACGAATTCGTCAATCTTAGTCTTCACATCTTCAGCCATAAGTCTATGCCAATTGTTAGAGACTAAGAACTTAGACACATACAAACATGATAATAATAAAGATACAAAAAAATAACAAGAACACATGGATTTAAGGTGGTTCACTTGATCAAAGTAATCAAGCTACGTCCACAAGATAAACTAGAGAAATTTTATTGACGATCAATGGTTATTTATATATTTATTGCATCTACTTATATGGCATGATGGGGATAAAATCAACATTGAGTGATCTATTTATAGTAGCCATTTGACCTAAATTTGTTGAGATTATGAACTTAAAGCTCGAACAATAAACAAAATGCAAAACTTATAAATTTTAGAATATAAACAACAGTAATAATCTTAAGAAATGTAGAGACAATAATATGAGGAACAAAACACTTGTATTCATAACTTTGAGGGAATAAATACAATTGTTAGCAATATGCTTAGAATTTTTGATGTATTAGAATCAATCCCCTAACATCTATTAATTAACACCTCCTTGTGGCCTACTCAATGATGTTGAAAATAGGTATGGTTGAACATTACATTAGTTCACAACTTAGCCAACACTGCATCTTTGCTCAACAAAACCATCACATTCGGTCTCTCACTCGGCTGTTGGGTCGCTTATTTTTAGCATCAACATTCTTCCCCTAGTTGACTGTGCAACAAATATCTTCAATATTTGCCAAGGAATTTTATCATAGACCTCCAAAACTTTCTTATTCCGAAGATCCGGTGAATTCTTTCTATCAACTCCCTTAACTCTGGTGTAACATGTTTCGATCTTCACCTTCTGGATGAACATTGGTGCACCAACATATTTCACTTAGTCTAAGAAACCTCTTGGATCCATTCTTCCTATCTCTACAAACCAAACCAAGATTTGGATACTATGTGGCTCCGAACTTCATATTTTCAAAACCTCTGATGGATGTATCAATAGTTTTTTTTTTTTGGAAAGGCTGAAGGATGTATCAATAGGTTTAACAAGTTCATTTTGAAA